TTGGCGTAGATTTAAATCGATGTGTCACATATCCTCATACCGCTAATGTATTACAATTTGTTTGTGGTTTAGGACCACGTAAAGCATCACATTTACTGAAATTTTGGAAACAAAGTAATTCACATTTAGAAAATCGAACATATTTGGTAGTTAAATATAAAATGGGACGTTATGTATTTTCAAATTGTGCTGGTTTCATTAAAATCAATACATCAGCATTAGCTGATAGTGAATCATACATTGAAATATTAGATAGTACACGAGTTCATCCAGAAGCCTACGATTGGGCTCGTAAAATGGCTGTAGATGCGTTAGAATATGAAGATTCATCTGAAATTGAACCATCAAGAGCATTAGAAGAAATCTTTGAAAATCCAGAACGTTTAAAAGAATTAGATTTAGATGCATTTGCTACAGAATTACAAAAAACAAATTATGGTGATCAATCAATAACATTGTATGATATTCGAGCCGAATTAACAAATCGTTATAAAGATTTACGTATACGTTATGAACAACCGACAAAAGAAGATTTATTTCATTTTATTACAAAAGAAACACCGTTAACATTTTATGTAGGTAAAATGATTCAATGTCAAGTATGTCAGCCACCAATTGTATATAAAAAACCATCGGCTGAACAATTAGAAAATGCACAACCAGATAAAGATGAAATATCAGGTTTTTGGAAATGTCCTTTTTGTCATATCGATCGATTTCAAGAATTAAAAGAAGTATGGGATCATTTCGATAAGGGATCATGTGAAGGAACACCAAGTAAGTTGTTTTTTTAATAAAGTAAAAAATTCTTCACAGTTAACTTAACATAGATATATAAAAACGTATATGAACTCATTTAATTCATTTCTTTTTTTTTGTTGTTGTTTAGTTGGTGTACGAACACGTCTAGATAATGGCTGTACAGGTTTTATTTCATTGAAAAATTTATCTGATACACCAGTTCGTAATCCAAACGAACGTGTTCGAAAATTGCAAGTAATTTATTCAAGAATAATGAATATAAATATTGAACGTTTTAGTGTTGAATTAACATGTAAAACATCTGATTTAAAAGATGCAGAAGAAACATGGCGACCAAAAAAAGATCAATATTATGATAAAGATGAAGAAGATAAAGATTTACAAAGAATGGATAAAGAGAAACAAATTAAACAAGCACAAGCATCACTAAGTTTTGTTAAACGTGTCATTGCTCATCCATCATTTATGAATGTCAATTATAAAGATTGTGAACGTTTATTAATGACAAGAGATTTAGGTAAGTTAATTTAGTTGTCATTGAAAGTGGAAAATTCTATCTAGATTTAATTTGTTTTTGTGATTTTTTTTTGATTAGACAGAGAGATACTTCAGGAATGCTATTTGAAAATAACTTTTTAATATTTTGTCATTCTTCTTCTTCTTCTATAAGGTGATGCAATAATTCGTCCAAGTTCAAAAGCAAATGATCATTTAACAATCACTTGGAAATTAGTCGATGGTGTACTACACAATATTGATGTTATTGAGAAATCAAAACCAAATTCATTTTCATTAGGAAAACGTTTATTAATCGTTGATCCTCGTACACAAGAAATAGAAGAATTTGAAGATTTAGATGAAATATTAGCTCGTTACATCAAACCAATGGCCAATTTTGTTGCTGATATTGTTGTACACAAATATTATCGTAATTTATCTCAACCTGTACCATCATCAACTCCAGCATCATCCTCAATACAACCGATAACTGCAGTTACATCTACTCAAATACCGCCTCCTAATTCTCAAGAATCAATTAAAATTTTAAATAATTTATTATGTGATGATAAACGTCGAAATCCAACACGTATTCGATATTATATAACAATATCATCTGAATTGCCAACAAAATTTTTATTATCTTATATGCCAACACGTAAACCAATTCATGAATATTTTACCATTCAACCAACAGGTATAAGATTTCGTACTAATGTTTATCCATCACTCAATGATATGTTAAATTGGTTCAAAATACACTATGCAGATAATCAAGTAACACCTTCTCCCATAACGCGATCTTCACGTCATCATACATCAACGGTAACCAATACTCCTGCTCCACCCATTCCTACAGGTGGATCGAGTTCAAGAACACCGACTGGCTCTAGTTCCATGTCATTATCGTCAACTCCAGTTGTCAATCCTGGTAGTTTAACACCAGCTGTCACTCCGAGTCCGTTGGCTGCAGCTATTGCTGCCTATAATTTTGCCACATCAACACCTTTACCACACAATAATTTTTCGACTACAATGCCGCCACCTCCACCGCCACCCATTCCTCGTATGCCCAGTTCTACCCCTCTTCATCCATCAATGATGCTTCCCCCTCCACCACCGTTGGCTCTTTATCAGCAAATGTTACAATCAAATCCGATGCAAATGCAACAATGGCCTTTGCCACCAGTGCCACCACCATTGCCTACACAACAATATTATTAAATCTTATCTCACTACCTATTTATTGTCTTGTAATTTTTCGCTTTTTGTTTTTATTGATTGTTTCTCTTAGTTCTGTTTTTTTTCTTTTTTTCAACACTTGTACAGTTAGAGTATATTCGTTTTGTTTAACTTTTGTTGCTATTGTAAAAAAAAGAATATAGTTGTGTTGAGAAAAGCAATAAACTATTTGTGAGCTATTCAAGCAAACAAGAGACAGACGAAACACTCTTACTAATCAACTATAGTTACTATATCTTAGTCACTCAAAAATCTTTCCATTTAAGTACAAAATTGTGGAATGCAATTGAAAGAGAATTTTTTTTTCAAAACAATGAAATTCGTTTGTTTCACTGTTCATTTGAATAAACATCTTGCATGATGAAAATAAAGAATACGTTTAACAGAGATGAACAAGTACCATTTTAATTCTCTTTAATTCTCCATTTTAAACTCTTGTTCTAGAAATTTGCAAAAAGTAATCTACTGTTAAAAAGTTTATTCAATGATAAAGAACTCGGAGGTTGACTGATATATCAGTTTCACTTGTTTTTCTCCATAGATCAAGTAGTATAAGTTTTCTAAGGTAAAGTACACATATAAATAGCTTTCACTATTAGAAATAAATGATAATGATAATTAAATGAATACAGTCATGTTAACAGGAAAAATCAAATGTTTGCACCACTGATTGTTCCTAAAGTAGTATTATAACGAAAATAATTAAACAAACCATTTGAGCTTATAATTTTACTCGTGATTTAAATTAGCATAATTATTACAATTATCAAAAAAACAACTGAATTTTAATTGATAAATATTGGATTAACTATTGAATAAATAAATAAATAAAATGATATTGTAACGTAGAACAAATGAATGTCGTCTGTTTTTGGGTTGTATAAGTAACATGAGTAATTGTGGATGTCATGAAACAACACGTGTAGTTTTAGTCAAATATAAATTATTCGTTTATATTGTATCAACAGCTGAATGAGTGAAAAAGAGGATTTTATCAAATGTTTATTAGAAACATACGTTGTAATTATCATTTGAATGGGAAGGAAAGACTTGTATATTCTTTTCCATTTAAAAATGGGATCAAGGAGAATAATAAATTAGGCAGCACTATAGTTCGAAAATGTTTCTAAGCTTTTCGTGTAGGTCACACTACGAAAAAAAAGTGCCCTTTGGTGAGGTTTAGGGTACATGAAAGTGCCCTTTGAAGTGCGCCACAGCCAATATGAAAACAAAAAAACTTTCATGTGCCCTAAACCAGAGTTGTAACTGGTCCAGAATTTTCAAACCGGTCCGGTCCGACCGGTCCAAACTTTAGACCGGTTCGGTCCGGCCGGTTGAAAAAAATTTTCAGACCGGTAAAAACCGGCAAAAACGGACCGGTATGTTAGGTCATGTACTGCCAGTTAAAACGAGAGGCTTCACCCATCTGCGTGTTCCTTACTCACGTTTTTATTAATACTCAAGAAGAAATGTGACGCTACAGTCGTTTATATCTGTAAGTTTTCCTAAAGATGAATATGCGATGTTTCTATCTCGAGGAAAAACAGGCATCTACCTGCCACTCAATTGCTAATCTGCAAATCCTAAATTTTTTTACTTAGATTTTGCAAAAAAACTAATATTTCTATTTCAACGGCAGTGACAATTTAAATCTAGTCTCTAATAAAACATTATTGAGATAAGTTGAGAAGTTTTTCTCAGCTAATACTGTCTGATTGAGCTTTTTAGAGAGTTAAAAAAAATTTCGATTAAAAAAATGAAAAATTTTAGACAAATTGAAGAAAATAAGGTTGATGTTTTTTGTAACAATATGATTATCTTTGATAAAAGAACTTAGACTTGCTCTCGACATATTTTATTGAAAAAAATTGTATATCTAGA